ACACGAGGTCGACTTATATACGAGTATATACGGTCCCCCACTCTGAGCATAGGGAAAGGGCTGAAGACATGCGCAGTCAGAGGAAACTTTTTTGTGACGCGGAAATCATTCGGTTGGGATTTCTATGGCAATCTCCCCCACTCTGAGCATAGGGAAAGGGCTGAAGACATGCGCAGTCAGGGGAAACGTTTTTGCGACGCGGAAATCATTCGGTTGGGATTTCGATGGCAATCTCCCCCACTCTGAGCATAAGGAAAGGGTTGAAGACATGCGCAGTCAGGGGAAACTTTTTTGCAACGTGGAAATCATTCGGTTGGGATTTCGATGGCAATCTCGGTGGGGTCGGGGAGGGGTTCGGCGACGCCGGCGAGAGGGAGGGTGCCCAGGTAGTTGGCATCGAAGCAGGTGTCCCGGGGAGCGTCTCCCGCCTGGGCGCAGCACTGCTGGGGGTCCCTCCAGGTGTTCCTCCGGGAGGTGCAAAGAGTGGTCACCAACTGGGATTTCTGGGAAAACAAAGGGTGGGTCAGCTTTGGGGGATCAATATCGCTCGCCTTCAGGGTCGCCGGTTCATGGCAATCCCTTGCCAAGCAGCAAAAGCACCATCAAAGCACCCCCGACAGATGGCCATCCAATGCCATTGAGTGCTCTCCATTAGGGATGGATATCAATAATAACAATGCTATTAAGTATTATCCATACAAGGTGGATATCAATAATAGCTACGTCATTAACTGCTCTCCATTAGGGCTGGATATCACTAATAATAATGTCATTAAGTATTATCTATTAGGGGTGGAGATCAATAATAACGATGTCATTAATTATTCCCTAACGGTTGGAGATCAATAATAACAATGTCATTAAGTATTATCGATTAGGTCTGGAGATCAATAATAACAATGTCATTAAGACTCCATCTACACTGCCACAGAAAATCCTGATTATCTGCTTTGAACTGGATTAAATGGCACTGTAGACTCATATAATCCAGTTCAAGACAAATAATGTACATTAGCGGCTTCTGGTGCACATTACTGACTTTTGATGCATATTAGGGACTTCTGGTGCACATTAATGACTTTTGATGCACATTGGGGACTTCTGGTGCACAATAATAATAATAATAATAATAATAATAATAATAATAATAATAACAACTCCTCTTTTATTTACATTCCACACCTCACCCCGCCCCGAAGGGGACTCAATTAATGACTTTTGACGCGCATTAGCATCTCCTGGTGCACATTAATTACTTTAATGAACATTAGATACTTTTGGTGCACATTAATGACTTTCAATGTGCATTGGTGACTTCTGGTGCACATTAATGACTTTCGATGCGCATTGAGGATTTCTGGTGTACATTAATGACTTTTGATGCGCATTAGGGGCTTCTCATGCACATTAATGACCTTTGATATGCATTAAGGAGTTCTCGTGCACATTAGGAAATGATAATAATAATAATAATAATAATAATAATAATAATAATAACAACAACAACAACAACAACACATTATTTATATTCCATCCTTCTCACCCCGAACGGGACTCAATTAATGACTTTTGATGCGCATTAGCATCTTCTGGTGCACATTAATTACTTTAATGAACATTAGATACTTTTGGTGCACATTAATGATTTTTGATGCACATCGGAGACTTCTCGTGCACATTAATGACTTTTGATGCGCATTGAGGATTTCTGGTGTACATTAATGACTTTTGATGCGCATTAGGGGCTTCTCATGCACATTAATGGCCTTTGATATGCATTAAGGAGTTCTCGTGCACATTAGGAAATGATAATAATAATAATAATAATAATAATAATAATAATAATAACAACAACAACAACAACAACACATTATTTATATTCCATCCTTCTCACCCCGAACGGGACTCAATTAATGACTTTTGATGCGCATTAGCATCTTCTGGTGCACATTAATTACTTTAATGAACATTAGATACTTTTGGTGCACATTAATGATTTTTGATGCACATCGGAGACTTCTCGTGCACATTAATGACTTTTGATGCGCATTGAGGATTTCTGGTGTACATTAATGACTTTTGATGCGCATTAGGGACTTCTCGTGCACATTAATGACATTTGATGTGCATTAGGGACTTCTCGTGCACATTAACAATAATAATAATAATAATAATCTAATAACACTTTATTTATATTCCATCCTTCCCACCCCGAAGGGGAATCAATTAATGACTTTTGATGCGCATTAGCATCTTCTGGTGCACATTAATTACTTTAATGAACATTAGATACTTTTGGTGCACATTAATGACTTTAATGCGCATTAGATACTTTTTGGTGCACATTAAATACTTTTGATGCGCCTTGGGGACTTCTGGTGCACATGAATAACTTTTAATGCGCATTGGGGACTTCTGGTGCACATTAATGACTTTAATGCACATTAGATACTTTTGGTGCACATTAATGACTTTCAATGCGCATTGGTAGATACTTTTG